GACTCTGGCCGTGGTCCTGCCATCGGAATGGGGCTGGGGCTGGGCCAGGGGGCCGCGACCCGGTGCACTTTACCTTTTTCTTCGCTGCGGCCAATTTGCTCTGTCGGGTTTCTTCCGACATCGCGGGGCGGGGAGGGAGGCGGGGTTGGGGCCACATCAGCGCGATCCCGGCAACCACTGCGGAAGTCAGTCAGCCACCGCGCAGCTGTGCGACCGAGCCAGAGGAGGCGTAACCAGGGCGGTACTACAGCGCAGAATAAGGGCGTGGCCTCAAAGATCAAAGCCCATTCGTCAATGAAAAAGATAAAGCGGAAAGGAGGCGTGGCCAGGCAGCGGCGTGGCCAGAGGGACCTGTGGCGTCACAACAAAAGCTGCGCACGCAACCGCTGTCCCCGCCCACTTCGGAGAGGGGCGGGGCCGGCTTTCCTTGGGTGCGCGCGCAGCTTGCTGTGCGACCATCAAGCTCCGGGTCAGTGTTCCTTGCCCCGCGCACCTGAGAGGCCGCTCTCCGACTCCCGCGCTGGACCCTCTTGCGCCACTGAACCCCCTGATCCGGGGGCCTCGGACCCCAGGGCTCAGGAGGTGGGCGAGGAACGGACTCCACAGTTTCTTTCCTGACTTCTTACAGCCCTGCCCCAGACTTTCCCTTTCCAGAAATCACCTCCAAAGACTCCCATCCAGTGCTTTAGACAACCCCCGCCTCAGAACGCCCCCTTCCTAGAGGGTCTCTACCCTGATCCTGGGAGCATATCTGCCCCCTTTCCAGATGGATCCAGTCCCAGGCGCTCCTACTTCCCAGCTGCTCCTCCTCCCGCATCCCCACAGTACCCCTGTCCTCACAGCGGACTGTGGGTCCAATCAGGCTTTCCCCTCGGATTCCTCTCCAGGACTGAACCAGGACTTACCCGAAGTTGCCGCGGGGCCTTCCGATCCCCTGTGAGTATTTCTTCCCCCACACCCCCTTCCCATCCCCGACCCTCCCTCGTGCGCTCCCGGCCCTCCTCCCCATCCCAACCGCAGCCAATCCCCGCTTAGCCCTCTTCCATATCTTCTCCTAGCCGACTGAGAAACTCCAGGTCATTCCTCAATCCCTCCCCTTCCTTTCCTCAGGCCCGCCAGTCTTCAAAGAAGTGCTATCCTGTCCTGTCCTAGGCTAACTCCTCTCCCTCCCCATCCTGTCTCCTGGCCCCTCAGATGCCTTTCACTCCAGTTCAGCACCAGCCATCTCTCCTCCTCTCTCGTTTCACCCCTCACGCAGCCCTGCCTTTAAACAAACCCACAGCTCCCCAGTCAGGAAAATGCTTGGTGTTCACCCTGGCCACTCCTTTAGTTGCTAATAGTCTCTCCTCTTCTCTGGCAAGCCACCCCCAAAACGCAGCCTCCTCCTCCTCTCATCCCCCAGATGGAGTTGCCACTACCACTACCACCACTCTCAAGTTAGATCGTGAGGGCCAGGCACAGTGGCTCACTCTTGTAATCCCAGCACTTTGGGAGGCGGAGGCAGACGGATCATTTGAGGTCAGGAGTTCAAGATCAGCCTCCCCATCATGGTGAAACCCTGTCTCTACTAAAAATACAAAAAAAAAAAGTCAGCTGAGCATGGTGGTGCAGGCCTGTAATCCCAGCTACTCAGGAGGCTGAGTCAGGAGAATTGCTTGAACCCGGGAGGTGGTGGTTGCAGTAAGCAGAGAATGCACCACTGCACTCCAGCCT